CCTCCAGGAGCAATCCTCCCTGACACCGTTACTCTGACCTACACGAGGGCATGTTCTACAGAAAGCAATCCACTCTAGCATAAGCACTCCTTAACAAGGTGCTATCAGTACAAATAAAATCTTATACGAGTCTGCCGAAAACAGTAAGAATCTGGCTGGGGATGGAGAACCAGTGGTAAGGGCCCTGAGGAACCTAACCTGAAAACAAATTCAAGGAGAGGCCAAAAGAAAAGCCACAGAGGAAACGCCACTGGAGGCCGAGGCCCAGCATGTGCCTGGTTACCTGCTGGCTCTGCAGCCTCTGCTGGAGCTGCATCCTCAGCTGCTTGGGGGTGTTTGTCCGGGGTCTCATGACGCTGGCCCGCGGGTGTATTCCTTGGAGGGGAAAACTGCCTTGCTGGTTCATCTGAGTCATCATAGAATTAAAAGATGGTGATTGTCCCTGAAGATTAAAGCCTCCTTGCATTGGAGGCCCCTGTGCCGGGTAGGACTGTCCATACAAAGCTGCCTTCTGATCCATCATTACTGCTGCTTCTTGGCCTGGGAAAGCATCCTGCTTGGGCTCCAAAGCTTGTCCCTTAAATATCAAACACATAAATAAACACTGAAGTGACATCTGTGAAAACAACAGAAATCAAATGCTCTATAAAGAAGGTAAAAAAGGGACCAGCAGTTAGTGTAGTGGCTGTGTTGCTGGACTCCCACGTAGTCGACTGTGGTTCGAGTCCTGGACCTGGTGGCTTAGACTCACGCCGGGCCTGTGTGCGTGCGTGCCCAGGATCCCAAGAGGAGAAGGGATTGTCCTGGGGAGTGATTTCTTGCTTTCTGTCTCTCTGTCTCTCTCTGTCTGTCTGGCAAGTGCATGCGACCTATAGCAAAAACCTCTCCAAAAAAAGAAAAATAAAAAATAAAGTCTACATATGTGAACAGCAAGGCTGTAATATCAAGTTGTCCTATTGTCTGAAGTTTCACGAGAATACAGCTAGACCCATCCTCATGCCGGCAAAGGCTCTCACACATCAAATATTTTCTGAGCTAAGTATCTACGACTGACTATCTGGAAACAAAACTATTTGTTCTAGATGACATTTCTGTACCAACAAGCATGAGCCTCTCAAGCCATGCATAAAATAAATCAACTGAGATGACTGCAATCAATGTCTTCTCCTTTAATGTGTACAAGAATTTCCTGAAGGTGCCCAGACCCAGAGGCACGCTGCTAAAATGCTGTCCTCCGCAGGCTGGGACCGCATGGGGGGCCTGGGTTCGACTTCTGGTCCAACTTAAAGACCAAGCATGGTGGTATGTGCCTGTCCCAGCTGGGAGGCTGAAGTGGGTTTGTGAAATGGCAAGGCTCTGTCTTCAAAACAAAAAAACAAATGTTTTTTAAGGATAGAAAAAGATCATTTTGGTAGAGACAGGTAAATCAGCAAATGCTCACATTCCCTAGAGAGTATTCACCGGGGAATGAAGGTGTCACCCACCACTGTGTGTACAGGGCCAGGGGAAGAAAACCATTCACCCAGCAAGGACTTTCTAATGCTGTATGTGCCAGGCACTGCACACACATCCAGCAGGTGAGAGCGGAAGTAATAAACACTGAGGAGGAGCGAAGAGCCCGCCGGCTACTGCATTTGCCTTGTGCTCTCACTAGCAGGCACGGATGCCAAGCATGCAGTCGGCATCCAAGACCAGCTTCCTCTAAAGCACGCTTCACGAACTGCCTCCAGCCACATCACTCTGGATGTTCTACTTCTCTGGCGTATCTCTGGATATGCGTTAAGACTTCGTCAGGAGGGGCCAGCAGGTGGTGCGGTGGTGAAGGCACTATATTCTCACATGGCCAACCATAGTTCGAGTCCTGGACCTGGTGGCTTAAAACTCAACAACAAACACTCACATCAATAAAAATAAAATCTTAAAAAAAAAAAGTGTTCATCAGGATTCAGTCCTAGACTTTCCTCTTTTGTCTGGATATTCTTTCTACTTGGGCACTTTCATCTGGTAGCACCTCTGGCATTTTTCCTTCCACTCTGAATGTCTCTGAATTCTCCATTTTTCTTACACGAATGCCTAGCTAACATCTTTACCTGGAAATCTCAGGCATATAGAAAAGAGGAATCATGGCTCCCCACAGCCTTCCCCCAAAAAACCCTGTTCTCCTCCGCATAGCACAGTACATGGCGTCACCATTCACAGCCCCGGAACGAAAAGCCACCCGTCTTCCTTTCTCACGCTTTCTCTTTCAAAGTGTGCACGTGCATGCACACCATCCACCTGTCAGCGTGTCCTCCACGGCACGTCCCCCGCCTCCCGTCCCACTGCCATGACCTTCGCGAGACACCGTGTGGACTCCTGCGCTAACTGGCACCTGTGCACCTGGTCTGATCGTACCAACTGCCTTCTCAGGTCAGCAGAGAGATCTTTCAATAAAGTAAGTCATACTCTAAAAACCGAGATTTGGGGCCAGCAGGTGGACCAGCAGTTAGTGTAGTGGCTGTGTTGCTGGACTCCCACGTAGTCGACTGTGGTTCGAGTCCTGGACCTGGTGGCTTAGACTCACGCCGGGCCTGTGTGCGTGCGTGCCCAGGATCCCAAGAGGAGAAGGGATTGTCCTGGGGAGTGATTTCTTGCTTTCTGTCTCTCTGTCTCTCTCTGTCTGTCTGGCAAGTGCATGCGACCTATAGCAAAAACCTCTCCAAAAAAAGAAAAATAAAAAATAAAGTCTACATATGTGAACAGCAAGGCTGTAATATCAAGTTGTCCTATTGTCTGAAGTTTCACGAGAATACAGCTAGACCCATCCTCATGCCGGCAAAGGCTCTCACACATCAAATATTTTCTGAGCTAAGTATCTACGACTGACTATCTGGAAACAAAACTATTTGTTCTAGATGACATTTCTGTACCAACAAGCATGAGCCTCTCAAGCCATGCATAAAATAAATCAACTGAGATGACTGCAATCAATGTCTTCTCCTTTAATGTGTACAAGAATTTCCTGAAGGTGCCCAGACCCAGAGGCACGCTGCTAAAATGCTGTCCTCCGCAGGCTGGGACCGCATGGGGGGCCTGGGTTCGACTTCTGGTCCAACTTAAAGACCAAGCATGGTGGTATGTGCCTGTCCCAGCTGGGAGGCTGAAGTGGGTTTGTGAAATGGCAAGGCTCTGTCTTCAAAACAAAAAAACAAATGTTTTTTAAGGATAGAAAAAGATCATTTTGGTAGAGACAGGTAAATCAGCAAATGCTCACATTCCCTAGAGAGTATTCACCGGGGAATGAAGGTGTCACCCACCACTGTGTGTACAGGGCCAGGGGAAGAAAACCATTCACCCAGCAAGGACTTTCTAATGCTGTATGTGCCAGGCACTGCACACACATCCAGCAGGTGAGAGCGGAAGTAATAAACACTGAGGAGGAGCGAAGAGCCCGCCGGCTACTGCATTTGCCTTGTGCTCTCACTAGCAGGCACGGATGCCAAGCATGCAGTCGGCATCCAAGACCAGCTTCCTCTAAAGCACGCTTCACGAACTGCCTCCAGCCACATCACTCTGGATGTTCTACTTCTCTGGCGTATCTCTGGATATGCGTTAAGACTTCGTCAGGAGGGGCCAGCAGGTGGTGCGGTGGTGAAGGCACTATATTCTCACATGGCCAACCATAGTTCGAGTCCTGGACCTGGTGGCTTAAAACTCAACAACAAACACTCACATCAATAAAAATAAAATCTTAAAAAAAAAAAGTGTTCATCAGGATTCAGTCCTAGACTTTCCTCTTTTGTCTGGATATTCTTTCTACTTGGGCACTTTCATCTGGTAGCACCTCTGGCATTTTTCCTTCCACTCTGAATGTCTCTGAATTCTCCATTTTTCTTACACGAATGCCTAGCTAACATCTTTACCTGGAAATCTCAGGCATATAGAAAAGAGGAATCATGGCTCCCCACAGCCTTCCCCCAAAAAACCCTGTTCTCCTCCGCATAGCACAGTACATGGCGTCACCATTCACAGCCCCGGAACGAAAAGCCACCCGTCTTCCTTTCTCACGCTTTCTCTTTCAAAGTGTGCACGTGCATGCACACCATCCACCTGTCAGCGTGTCCTCCACGGCACGTCACACGCCTTCCGTTCCACTGCCATGACCTTCGCGAGACACCGTGTGGACTCCTGCGCTAACTGGCACCTGTGCACCTGGTCTGATCGTACCAACTGCCTTCTCAGGTCAGCAGAGAGATCTTTCAATAAAGTAAGTCATACTCTAAAAACCGAGATTTGGGGCCAGCAGGTGGCATGGTGGTTACGGTACTGGATCCCACGTGACCAATTCCACAGGTAAGGTCCCGGACTCAGTGGCTTGGAAAACACACACACCGGAAGCATATGTATGTGAGCCCCAAATCCAAAGAGGAGAATAGAGGAGAAGAGGTGGTGGTGTGCTCCTCCTCCCTGGGGGGTAATTTCTCACTTTCCCTCTTTCTCTATCTCTGCTGAGTACACGCAACCTATAGCAAAATCCTTTTAAAGAGAGATTTTTCTAGAGCTTCTTTTGGATTTTGAAAATGCAGATAAATTATGGATCTGTAGTTATTTTCCCCTCCCTCCAGTGTACACATGTACACCAGATGCATGAGCACGTGCTCTGTGTACCCCACGATGACTGCACTTTTGTTGCTAAATAGGAAGTCATTACTTACGTTATTTTGGCTTATTGCTGAGCCAAGCATAGCGTGCACGTGCGTGTGTGTCTATTTAATTCATAATTGCCTTCTCTTTTTCTTTTGTTTCAATGTGTACATATTGCTAATTCTCCCTAGATACTCCAATGGAATTAAACATTTCTCTAATTTCTTCTTCGCATATTCAGGCATTTAAAATAAATCTGTCAAGACCAGCAGTTGGTGCAATGGCTATGTCGGTGGACTCCCATGTAGTCGATCGTGGTTCACATCCCAGACCTGGTGGCTCAAACTCACACCAGGCACGTGTGCGTGCGTGCCCAAGACCCCGAGAAGAGAATGGAGGAGAAGGCATTGTGACGAAGCCAACCCCCCTGGGGGGTCATTTCTCGCTTTCTGTCTTTCTGTCTCCATCTGTCTTTCTGGCAAGTGCACGTGCCCTGTGGCAAAAACCTCTCCAAAAAATTAAATTAATAAGATTTTTTTAAATAAAATAAAATAAATCTGTCACTTCCTGCTCTCCTTACCTTTCTGTTTTACTCTGTCCTTGCAAGGCATATCTAGAAGTCACTGTCCCTAGTTTCCTATGTCGGACCCCAGTGTCCAGAATTCCCAAGTTACTTTCTGTCTCGATTTACACTTTTGTTTTGTTGAAATACAGTTTCTCCATCCCACGGAGGAGACCCACTGTTCTGGGTCTTCGTGTTTCTGAAGGGTCTGTGTTCCCACCCTCCTACATATACAACCCTGTATCACGTTTTACACTGAAAAGCAGCTCCCTCAGAATTTTGAAAGGTTTCTTTCACAGTTTTCTGGCATCCGCTGTCGCCACGGAGACAGTCCGTTCTTTCTCTTGGTCTGTTTGCACGTGATCCATTTACTCCCTGAAGTTAGTTAGGGGCTTTTTCCTCTCTGAAATTCCATGAAGCTTTACCTCGCTATGAGCCTTCTTTCCTTCATTCTCACATGTAAAGATATTCCCTTCAGGTTTGGGAGTATTTTCTGATATATTTTCTTTAATAATTTTCTTGCTCTTATTTTTTGTTGTTTTTCATTCATTTCGCCCCAATTCTGGGGGATTTCTACTGATGTACTGGATGATATATTGATTCTGCATAATTGCTTCTATTTTCCTTATTTCTGAGTCACTCATGTTGGAAGCTGCATGTTTTTCAATCAAACACCTGGTGATTCTGGATTGCTTTCTCAGATGTAAGAATGATACATCACAAAAGCAGATTTGGACTCAGCTGTAGTAGCTTACACCTGTAATCCCAACTTCTCAGGAGGCTGAGGCAGAATGGTGGAGACATAGGGAGAGTCTGTCTCTAAAAAAAAAAAAATTGGAGGGGCTAGCAGGTGGCATGGTGGTTACGGTGCTAGACGCCCACGCGGCCAACTGCAATTCAAGTCTTAGAGCCAGCGGCTTAAAAATCATGCCAGGTATGTGCGTAAGTGCCTAAAATCCAGAAAGGGGAATAGTGAAGGGATTACGATGTGGCCATCCCCTCTGAAAGGGGAACGATTTCTCACTCGCCCTCTCTCTCTCTGGCAAGTGCATACACCTTATGACAAAAAAAAAAAAAAAAAAAGCTGATTTAAACCCAGTCTATTACTGGGTTGCCAATAGAAATATCTGAAATTTGGTGATTCATGAGAATATAGAGTTTACTCGGCTCATGGTTTTAATTTTATCATCAGGACAAAGAATGCAATTTCCAGCTTAAAACTTTAAGGGCAGTTCAAGACTCCTCAGTCTCTGTGGAACCTTCACATTCACCCCTAGATGGGGTCAGACACAGCTACTCACTGCCAGGTCACGTGTCACTGGTTCTCTGGAGGGTACATGGGGAATGCTCAGCAACTGCACACATGAAAAAGTTCTGTGACCATGTCTGCCGCTTGGCAGTAATTCTGCATGCACGGGTTTGTCTTCAGACAGTCAGAACCCCGATGATATCCACTGCTTACTGCGGAGTGCACAGACCTCGCTACACAGGGTCCCCATACACACTCTTTAAATAAAAACAACCGAGGCCAGCAGGTGGCACGGCAGTTAAGGCACTGGACTCCCACACGGCCGACCAAAGTGCAAGTCTCAGACCTGGCAGCTTGCTTTCTCATTCATATTCTCTCTCTCTCTCTCTCTCGTGAGCACACATGCCCTACAGTAAAAATCAAAATAATAATAATTAAAGAATTCTTTGGTTAATACATATATTTACAACTACATAATGTATTTTTGAAAAATCCAGATTTGTGGGCCAGATGGAGGCATAGTGATGATGCGATGGGACCCGACAGGACAGCTCTCGGTTCAGGTCCTGAGAGGACCGTGTGAGCCAGGCCAGCTGCAGCAAGTGGGGGTCACAGTGTGAGAGCCTGTTGGGGGTGCTCTCCCCCTTGTCTGTCTTTCTCTCATTAAAGAAATATTTAGACAAACAGATACATGAAAAGCTTGTTTTCATAAGGCTAGGTATACAAACAGAACAGCAAATGATGTTAGCACGTTCAGATTTATCACTGTGGAGGAGTTTTGTTTAAATTAACATTCTTAAAAAAAGGAAGAAAAAAAAAGAGCTTGCCTTAGAATACACTCTGGTTGGCCAGGTAGTAGAAATAGTTAGTTATAAAAATGAGAACTCTTCACTAACAAATAAAAAGCAGCATTTTAAAAGCAGTATATAATAATTTAGTGGATCATTTCTGTTACTGCCTAAAATTTAACATTATTATAAAATAGTCAATTGCTGGAAATAGTATCACGACCACAAAGTGTATTTTCTAAATGTAATGCTGGCGTCCATGGATGTAGTGATATAACACAGACACTGGAGAGGTGACGCAGACAGGCGTCCTGGTGCACAGCTTCACGAACGGGCACGCACACACATGTACACACACGCTCTTGCCTCCATGGTAATACAACCTACCTGATTTACAAGTTCAGGGATGCCCAAAGCTCTGTCAATTTCTTCCAGGCCCGTAGCATCTGTGTTGCTCAAGAGAGTATGCAGCTGGTCCAACAATGCATTTTCATCGCTCTGCCCTTCCAAGTTAGAGGGTGGCCCAAGGAGATCATCCAAGGAATTCCTAAGGAGGGGCCTACAAAGAAATCTGCAATCAATTTCAATGGTGCTTTATCTCTTTTGAAAAATATATACTACTAGGGACCAGCAGATGGCGTAACAGTCACATCGCTTGACTCTCACATAGCCAACCACAATTTGAGTTCTGCACCCAGAGTACTGAAACTCACACTGGCGCATATGCATGTGCTCAAAATACCAAGGGGAGAGTGGAGGAGAAGGGACTACGGTGTGGCTCTTCCCCAGGGAAGACAGACCTTCTGTCTGTCTCTCCAGCGAGCACACACGCCCTATGGCAAAAACTTCTCCCTTTAAAAAAAGTAAATAAAAAATAATATATATGTGTGTATATATATATATATATATATATACACACATATATATTTAAAAAACTAGATCACAGGACCAGCAGTTGGCGTAATGGCTATGTCGCTGGACTCCCATGTAGTCGACCGCAGTTCGAGTCCCAGACCCGTTGGCTTAAACTCACGCTGGGGACGTGTACAATGCGTGCCCAGGATTCCAAGAAGAGAATGGAGGAGAAGAGAGTGCAGCGTGGCCATCCCCCCTGGGGGGTGATTTCTCACTTTCTGTCTCTCTGTCTCTTATATATATATATATATATATACACACATATATATTTAAAAAACTAGATCACAGGACCAGCAGTTGGCGTAATGGCTATGTCGCTGGACTCCCATGTAGTCGACCGCAGTTCGAGTCCCAGACCCGTTGGCTTAAACTCACGCTGGGGACGTGTACAATGCGTGCCCAGGATTCCAAGAAGAGAATGGAGGAGAAGCGATTGCGGTGTGGCCATTCCCCCCCCCGGGGGGGGGGGATTTATTACTTTCTGTCTCTCTTTCTGGTGAGCACACGTGCCCTATAGCAAAAAAACCTCTCCCCTCCAAAAACAAAAAACTAGATCACAGTGTGTGTGTGTGTGTGTGTGTGTGTGTGTGTGTGTGTAAAACACTAGATCACAGTAATTGTGCACACTATTCTAACCCACAATAAAAACTCATGTGATACAAATATAAACAATAAACTAAGTAGTAGAGAAAAGCAAATGGCATCAATTTAAGGACCGCAGATTAAGACTTCACCAGACTGGGGCCAGCAAAAAAAAAAAAAAAAAAGAAAAAATACTTTTCCAGAAAATTGAGGTTTACCTTCTCAATGCCATTTTTCTTTTTAAGACGTTTCTGCCTTAGGACATGTGTAATCTCCGGAGAGAGACAGAGACAGTGACAGTGAGAGGGAAAATGAGGAATCACCCCCAGGGGGGATGGCCATGCCGCAATCCCTCCTCCTCCATTCTCCTCCTGGGATCTTGGGCACACATGCACGCACACGCACCCAGCATAATTTTCAAGCCATCAGGCCCAGAACTCGAACCACAGTCAGCCATGTGGGAGACCAGAGATATAACCACTATGCCATCTGCTCGCACGCTGAATGCCATTTTAAAAAGCACAGGGAACTAGTATTTACCTTTCAAACTGGTGCTAATCTCTCCTACTCCTCACAGATAACACTGAGAAACAATCATCTCACACAGCAGCTCTCGGAGCGTGACCACTGACCGGCCCTGCTAGCTGATACGTAGCTGTCTCCACCCCCGGGAGTGCCACCGCTTGCTGCCTTAGGTTTCCACACACGCTTATCTGGGAAATGCCCAGATGGCAACTAAGTACCTCAATTATAAAGAACTTTTCTCATTCTCTGTCAGGTTTGCTTCTGTGTTACAACGATTTCTGGAGAAACCAGTGCTAACATTTCTACAGAGTCACAAAACAAAGTCCTACCTGTTTTGAGCCCCGTGAGGGCCTTGTTCCATGGACAAAAGGCCATCTGGCCAGGACCCTGGCTGGTTGGATGGTGCTGCCTGGCCATAGGGATTGACTCCCATTCCCATGGGAATCTCACCAGGCCCTGGAAGAGCAAAAAGGAAAATACAAATTTGCAAATACGCCAACAGCAAAAACTACACTAAAATACCTACTGTCCTTGCGTGAAAGTGACACTCACTCATCGGAAGCATCTGCTGCTGCGGCTGTGGCTGCAGTGCTGGTCTTGCCCCTGGGATGCTGTTAGACCGAAGCGGCAGCGTGGGCACGGAGGCGCCCATCGCGGGTCTGGGTAACGCAGCAGCATACTCTCCTCCCGGTCTCCCCATGGGGCCCGAACTCATGGGTTCCATTCTGCTGGCCTTTGCGTTCGGTAAGCCCCAGTCTCCTGAGGGAGGAGTCTGATTCATAGTCACGTTTCTGTTTGGTCCACCTAGAACAGGTAGAAATGACTAGGTCTTTTCCCTTAGTACAAAATAATCCTTGTCGTATCATGCAGGAAAAGCCATTACACACGACATTGGCCTTGACCAAAAAAACCTCTCTGTCACCCTGAGAACAGGGCTAGCCGAATGCATGGTTTCGATATCCCACTATTCCCACATATTCACTACAGGTTGGAAAATGTCTTAGATCGAAAGACTCTTAAAGACCAAGACATAAAATAAATAAAGACACTCACAAAAGAAACATCATGCTAATGTTATCCAAACACTTACTACTTCATCCCATTTAAATAGCTAAACGTATTTTAAATTTGCTGTTCCCAAAAGAAATTTCTCAATACAAATATTGATTAGAAATAACATACCCATATTTGAGCTATAATTTTCCTGACTATCCATCATCCTTGGATTGCCGCCCAGCATGGATTGCTTTGGTAACATGGGGAAAGCACTCATGTTCTTCACTGGAGGACTAGAGCCAACAGAAACAGGGCTATCTAGAGACACTGCTCGGTTGTAGGGGGGACGAGCGGATGGCACAGACTGCGGGCTCCTCAGACCTGCTGAAAACACAAGCATGACATGTAAACATCCCCAATGGTTCCATACATACATAATCAAGTGCAAGATATAAACACCACCACTCCCCAACTAAGAATGCCTTTCTTATGAAAACAAATGTCGTCTTCCCTTACGAAATAAACACTAAGCTCCCTCCCGGCCCTCAAAGAGCCTTGTATCTCAAATAAAGTAGAAACAACAACCTCGGTGTTGGCCGAAGTACTGGGCTGGGCATTCTTCTGCAGCCAGTAAGGTCAATAACATGCCGCTTCACTCAGTACTGAAAAGTCGCCAATGCTGTGGGCTCCTGGAGGCTGGGCAGGAGTACACCTAGTACGTATGCATACTTACTAGGTATACTCCAGTTAGGGGCCCAGCAGGTGGCATGGCGGTTAAAATGCTGGGTTCCCACATGGTCAACTACAGTTTGAGGCCCGGACTCAGTGACCTGAAAATAACACTGAGCGTGTGTGCATGCCTGCCCAAAATCCCAAGAGGAGAATGAAGGAAAGGAACTGCGGTATGGCCATTCCCCTCCCCCAGGGGATGATTTCTCACTTTCCCTCTCTCTTTCCAGCAAGCACACCACTCTATGGCAAAAACCTTAAAAGAAAAAAACAAGGATATTCCCATTATAGTTTTGCAATAAATGTAACCAGGTAAGTTGCATTCTAATCAAACAAAGTATGAAATGGGAAATTTCTCCCTGGACTTTTTTACTACAACTTATTTGATTGATCCTTCCACTTCAGTTTAGCAGCCAGAGTGACTGAAAGTAAATAACCACCATTCAGGATCACTGTGAATTATTCCTTTTCAATGTATACACACAACGCATCCCTGTTAAACTGATAAATGAGTAATAAACGCAAAGCAACAGGAGAGAGGATAGAATAGAACCAAAAAGTGGGCCAGCCAGTGGTATGGTGGTTAAGAAGGCTGGATCCCACACGGCCAGCTGCGTGGCTGAAGTCCACACCCAGCAGTGCCTTGAGAAACACACCAGCGGCAGGCAGGTGCGTGTGTGCCCAAAATCCTAAAAGGAGAAACGGAGGGCTGGCATGGCTTCCCCAAGGAGGGGTGCTTTCTCACGCTCACTCTCTCACCCCCCCCTCACCCCCCCTCACCTGGCAAGAGCATGAGCCCTCTAGCAAATTTAAAACAAGTACCAAGAAAGAAAACTCTCATGGCTAAATAATGAGATTCTCTAAGTGCCAAAGAACGGGTTTTAATCTATAGTTTTGGTTGCTTTTTCTTCTAATTATTTTATTTAAGTTTATGTATTTATTTTAATTTGATCAGAGAGGAACAGAGTGAGAAAAAGAGAGAGAGAGAGGGAAGGAAAGTGAGAAAGCAAGCCACCAGGTCTGGGACTCGAACTGTGGCTGGCCATGTGGGAGTCCAGCACCCTTAACCATCACGCCACCTGCCGGCCCCAGTTTTGGTTGCTTTTAAGTTAACTCTCTGTGGCTAAGAAAAAATGCATTAACGCGTCTCGGCACCAACTACTCATCTGGAGAAATCAAAGATGACCGGTTTCCTACGTGTGCCATGTTTCCTGGCTTATTAGTTAGAAATGGGAAAAAATTTTAAATAACTTTTTAAAAACAAGAAAATGTTTCAAAAGCTCTGTAAACACATCTTAGACCTGCGTAAGAAACTGAGCAGCAGCATGTGTCTCCTGCAGCAGGAGGTGCTGGTTACCCCGGTCCGAGTGTACGAGCGCAGACGGGCCCGCAGGAAGGCAGCGAAGGCAGCACAAACAAGCCAGACTCCTCCTTACCCAAAGGATTTGCTCCTTGGAACAGCTGTTGCTTGGTCCCCAGGTGACTGCCATTTGTGGATACGGAATGATTGTAAAAGTCAGAACTGGTCAGGTCACCAAGAATAGCATCTAAATTATCTAAGTCTCCAGACCCCTGAAAAGAGCATTTCAAAAATTAACCTGTGTTAATATTAGTAGATAAACAGGTATAAACATACTCCTCAAAAGAAAACACATGACATGCGGACAAGTAAAGTGACAATGCCCTAATTAGAAGTTGGTTTCTTAGGACTGCCCATCCCTAATCTTACTCCTTAAAAATAAAAATGGTTTAAACTACTTAGATAAATGACTGGATTTGATGCTTCTGAAGGGGCAGTTTTATTTACACCAGACACAGTCCTCAAACCACAGGACATGAGTCACCAGCAGTGAACTGATGACTGGCCATCAGACATGTCTGCACTTACAGATCACTTCTGAAAACAAGTGAGGTTAGTAATGAAAGTGGCAAGCTTGTGTTCAATGAGATGTTCACAGGCTAATAAACTGGCAAACACCAGGTTAAGCAAAGCTAAACTCAAACCCTAACCCAGACTTCGCCAAGCCTTTCACTAGCTCATGCACGTATTAACACCTCCTAGAATGATGTTCCTCAGTGGAGCCTGGGAAACGCGTACACAGAATAAGATTAGGTACACAAAATGTCTAGGCTAAAAAAAAAAAAAAAAAAAAAAAAAATTTAGGGGGCGAAAAAAAAAAAACATTTAGGGGGTCCAGCAGGTGGTGTGGTGGTTAAGGGTGTTGGACTCCCACATGGTCAATCGCTGTTCGAGTCCTGGACCTGGCATCTTGCTTTTTCACTCTCCCTCTCTCTCTTTCTCTCTCTTGCTCTCTCATTCTCCCCCTCTATGGTCAAATTTAAAAATAAATAAATAAAGTTAAATAAAATTATTATTTAAAAAAAATTCAGGGCCCAGCAGGTGGCACGGTGATTAAGGGCACTAGATTCCCACAGGGTAGACCATGGTTCAAGTCCCAGAACTAGCAGTTTGCTCTCTCTCTCTCTCTCTCTCTCTCTCTCTCTTTCTCTCTCTCTCTCTCTCTGTCCCTCTCTGGTCAAATAAATAAATAAAATAAAGTTAAATAAAATAATTCTTCTAAACAAATTTATGTTGCTTAATATGAAAGTTTTTTATTTCCATGATTATTTCCATCAGCGCCTTAATGACCCTAATCTGTTCCTTCCAATAATACACGACTCCATAAAGAACATTTCAGACTGGGGGCCCAGCTGCCGTGGTACACACTGGGCACTGCTGTTTGAGAGGGGTGGGACTGCTGGCCCCCGACACCACGGCCCAGCTGCTCGGCAGGTGGAGGAGGGGCACCGCACCAGCACAAGCCTGACTAAGCCGCCACGCACATTCGGACACGTGCACCCACAATAAGTAAATGCGTAACTCTGGGTTGGCCATGTGAGGTACAGACACATTTTAGAACATACACACTGGGGCCAGTAGGTGGCATGGTGGTTGAGGCGCTGGACTCTGACATAGCCAAGTACAGTTCAAGTCCCAGACCTGGTGTCTTGTGTTCGCACCTCCCCCACACCCATGTCTCTCTCTGGTGAGTGCACGTGCCCTATAGCAAATCAAAAATAGTAATAATAATAATAACTAATTAAATACTTCTAAGAAATAAAATATACACATCTATTATTTCTCGATTTCGTGATAAACTTCAGCGTTGCCCCAAGAATTATTAAAACCAAAAGCTCAAAATTAACTTCCTTCAGCAAACCTAAAAAAGAAGTTAAAAATCTGTGTATATTGTCTTTCTAACACAAATATGACATGACAAGACAAGATGACTATGCAGGACTACACAGAAAACAAATTACCTCCTCGCTGGTCTCTGTCTTCACTTTAGAGTCCTTCTCTTGACTGGAGCTGGGGATGGCGGAGCTGCTGCACTGGCCTGTCTTACCATCCACCCCTTCCACCTGCGGCTGCAGCTCTTTGGCCAGTGTGTCGCTGGGATCGTCCCTGTCCAGCAGGTACCGAAGGAGTGCGTTGTTCTCCTTCTTCTTAGGGCTCAGCTGCTCCTGCTTGATGCTCCCCTCCCCACAAGAAGCTGTGCTGCTGGTGTCTTTCCCGGTGGCCTCGGCGGTGATCTTGGCTACCTCAGCCGGTGAGTTCCCGTTCTGCAGCAACTTGTGCAAAATCCGGTGCTTCTCCTGCAGCAGGGACCCGTGCATGTTGGACGTAGAGGACACGCCTCCAGATGTCGAGGAGGAGACTCCGGAGGGGCTGGTGACACTAATGGATGAGTCTTTACAACTGGAATCCAGGGGGGAGTTGGTCAGGGAGGAATGCCCTCGGTCATCAGAGGAACAGGTGAGTAACTGCAGGAGCTTTTTATGGCCCTTGCCTTCCAAGGGCCCTCTCTGAGTCTCTGGGCCTTCCGCACCGCTCTCCTTACTCTCCTTGTCGCTGAGGTGATCTCTGCTATTTGACGGACACATGGAACTCTCCACTGGATTCTGGTCGCAGTACAAGCCTAGGGGACTCTTAGAATCCTGACTACTCATTTTACTTGGTTGGGCTATATTCATATTGGGGGAGTTATCCAATTTAGGACCTGGGGAAGACAAGGTAGATAACAGCGAAGTCCCCACGCCCTCGCTGATGGCTTGCAGGGCACTGAGAGAGCTGCTGGAGAAGCTGTGGCTCCCGGGATTGCCAGACGAGCCCATGGGAGAGTGCACCCCTGAGTTTGGAGAAAAGGTCGGAAAAGAATTAGACTAACAGACACCACGATGAAACACCACTTAATTCTTCAAAGCTTCTATTATAAAATAAATTAACTTTACAAGAATTACAGTAACACGGAAAGAAACTAAAAATTACAATAAATAAATAAAAGGAAATGCTGACACGAATACCTGTAACAGGAGAAAACTGATGTGAGGCCATCTTTGGACTCCCGCGATTACGAGGAGAAATCATGATACTCTGCTGGTTGGAGCCAAGACCAGGACTCCCGTGCGGGGGGCTACTCATGTTGAGCCCGTAGCTACTGTTCTGGTAGGAGGATGGTGACTGAATGCCTGGCCCCGGAGTCATGGAGGCTATGTTACTGGAACCTCCATACCTCGCTCCGCTCATCTGACCTGCAGGGCTGGAGTCAGCCAAGCCATAGGTCCTGCCGCTCAGCATGGGTAAGCCTGGGTTTGGCGACACGCTCATGCCGCCCACTGATCCGCTGCATCCAGCCGCGGGGGGCCTGACGCCTGGTCCGACAGGATTTGGGTTTGGTCGATACCCATTCTGTTCTCTGTAAAGAAACAGGACATTAAACTTTTACTAAAAAATTATAGGCATGCATTAAAGCCCTGAATTAGATTTTTATAAAAAAAAGGATGGGGGCAAGCAAGTGGCATGGTGGTAAGGAGCTGGACTCCCATAGAGCCGACTGTGGGCCATGTCCCGGACCTGGTAGCTTGCTTCCTCACTTTCCCTTTCTGTATCATTCTGTCTCTCTCTCTGGCGAGTGAAAAATAACAATAATAATAAATAAAATTAAATGAATTCTTTTAAGAAATAATAAAAATAAATTTAAAAGGATGAAGTAACTATTCAGAAACAACTTTTTAGGTGCCGTCCCAGTGTTTAGCATCAATTCAGTTCTAGGGGCTGGCAGGTGGTATGGTGGTTAAGGCACTGGACTCGCACATAGCTAACCACTGCTCAAGTGCCAGACCTGGCAGCTTGCTTTCTCTGTCTTTGTCTATCTCTCTAATCAAATTGAAGAATAATAATAAATAAAATTAAATAATTTTTTTTTGAAAGATTTTCACTGTAGGGCACGTGTGCTCGCCAGACAGACAGAGAGAGACATAGAGACAGAAAGCGAGAAATCACCCCCCAGGGGGGATGGTCACGCCGCAATCCCTTCTCCTCCATTCTCCTCTCGGGATCTTGGGCACGCACGCACACGCGCCCGGCGTGAGTTTTTAAGTCACCGGGTCCGGGACACGAACCGCGGTCGACTACGTGGGAGTCCAGCGACATAGCCATTACGCTAACTGCTGGTTCCCAATAATTATTTTTTTAAAAAAGAAAAAAATTCCAATTCCATTCTAATATTGATTACTTATTAACCTAATAACATGTTTTTTAGTAAACTATAGAACTGAGCTGGCCCCACAGCTAAGTGGTTAAGAAAGCTGCATCCCACATGACTGGTCACAGCTCAAATCCCAGAAGCTGAGACTTCAAAAACACACCAGGTATGTGCATGTGCTTGTATGTGTGCATGCCCTGCCTTAAAATTTCAACTCAGCCCCTAAAAGGAATACTCCACTGCATCATTAGACAAGAACGGTGTGGCCAGCAGGTAGCGTGGCAGGCTGCATCCCACATGGCCGACTACGGTTTGAGTCCCAGAGCTGGCAGCTTATTTTCTCACTTTCCCTCTCTCTCTCTATGTCTCTGTCTCTCACTGGTCAAATTTTAAAAATAATAATAAATAAAATTAAATGATTCTTTAAAAAACACATGAATGGTAACAAAGGTAATCAGATTTTTTTTTTTTGAGAGGTTTTTGCTATAGGGTACGTGTGCTTGCCATAAAGACAGAGGGAGAGACAGAGACAGGAAGGTGAGAAAGCGCCCCCCAGTGGGGATGGCCACGCCACAATCCCTTCTCTATTCTCCTCTTGGGATCCTGGGCGTACACTCATACACACCCGGTACGAGTTTAAGCCACCGGGTCTGGAACTCGAACTCTGGTAGACTACATGGGAGTCCAGTGACATAGCCATTACACCAACTGCTAGTCCCAGTAATCAGATTTTATATGCTCTTTCATCCACTAGCCTTTCCATCCCCAGCTTTCCCAGAATGTAACTATTTGATGAACAAATGCTCACATAAATATATAATCTTCAAAAAAACATAATCCAGAAATCTACACTCTCCTCACCAAACTCAACAACCTTCCAGCTTTTCCTCACTACTTTCTTCCTTTTTCACATTAGTAATAAAGTATTTTGAGACACTGCCACACTAACATGACAGTACACAGTAATCTAGCATTACCTCTGAAGAAAGTGGGTTGAAACAAAGCCATGGCGATCATTCGTTACGGGATGTCGGAAGAGTTTGCTCTTTGTTTGTGCGGTCACTATGGTTCCGTCGGCCAATGAGAATCGATACACCGGCGTCTCAGCGTGGCCATGGATATAAGCTGTGGAGAAAATACCCAAGGCTGGTAACTACAATCAGCAGAACAAATAGGAAGGAAGGAAATGTATTTCAAGTACGTGTTTACACTCCAGAGAAAGATCAGAGCTACAGCATCATCCTCCTGCCCCACGCTCAGAATAACCACTGCAGTCATACGCATCATCGGTGCTTCAACAGCAGTGACGAGCTCAAGAGTCAACCCCCAAATGCTTTACCTTCTTGATAGTGACGTTTCTGGGACCATGACTGCCCATCATTAAGACTAAAAAATCTCTGAATACACCTTCGGATTATATCTTCGAAGCCAGGCCTCATGGACGATCTCAGTGAATTTGTATCTATATTGACAACCTTTCCTATAAAAAAGAAAAAAAAGATTATACCTAACCCACCACTTCTTGCTGTAGACTGCCTATACATGGGCTTATCACTAAAGAATAAAATAAAAGATATTGAATCTTCGCTCCGCCTTCTCTGATTCAATTTCTGCTCTGTCCAAAGGTTCCCCCCCTTAAGGACGTAGTCCTCTAGGATCCTCTTACATTTACATGTTCTGCTGTGGGGTAAAATACTGTAGGGTATAATAAGACATCTGGTTTTTGTCCAAGCTCCTGACACAGAGCTCCTGAAGCCCTCAGAACTCCCTGGCATGATAAGAGTATAGTTTAGTTATTCGTAAAGAGACCAAGATTAAAACTCATGGTGATGTCAAGAATCACTCCCAGTATTTCTCACGATATTACCTGTAGCTTCGCAAATGTGTTTATGATAACTGGGTTTGAAACTAGAGGGAAAAACGACTACATTCTGATGTAAAATGATTTGGAGAGAAACCCAGATTTGTTTTTTAATTTATTTAGAAAATTTGAAGGGTCATAGACACCAAACTCAAATGGACAACAGTTTTAGTGAAACTGTTTTAGAGCTGTGTAAGAAAAATAATAATACACGTAATCTGTTCATTGTCACGGCGTAGGCACTGAAATGACAGTGCACACTGTAGAAATAGTAAACTTTTCTAAGAATTTCCAAAATGAACATGAGTATGGGTCAGCCCACAGAGTAAGTGTAGGGAGCCCGATCTCACACGGCCGACCACAGTACAAATCCTAGCACCAGTAGTCTGGAAAACACACCAGGCACATGTGCATACATGCTCAGATCCTGACAGGACAGAGAAACGGACGACAGAGGCTGAAGCATGACCACATCCCACCGGGAGGTGCTTTCTCTCTGGCAAGTGCACATGCCCACGGCCATTAGAAAAGGTGAGGAGAACATATGTGTATAAACACATGTACACACACACACACACACACACACAGATTTCACCTGAAAGGTCATGTCTAGTGATAAAGCTCTCGGGGTTTGATGGAAATGCTCTTTCTCCTGTAGTGATGCGACGTGCCACACAGATCATACAGGATTGCAAATCTACAATCAAAACGGAGTGGCATTTTTAGTTATGCCTGTCCAACGGGCAAGCAAAGACATGGAATTTACTAAGAAGAGTGGCAACAACGAAGTTTGGCGCCGTGCATTTCAGAAACATCCCCAAAGTGCGACCGCTCTTACCTTCCCCTTCCTCCATCATAGCACGTGGCTGAGACAGGGCAAAGCACTGCATCGTTTCGTATCTCTGGCGCATTTCGGGACTGCTATTCATGTCTTCCAGAAGATCATGTGGTATTTTCATCAACATACGGCAATTGAACGTATGGCTTTTTTGTCTCTGAGTCTCGTTTGTCCAAGAAACTCCATTAACTTTGAAAAGCAAATTGAAATTGCATTTTCAAAAGCTGGTATCCCCATCTATGACCATCCCCAAGAACCGAAGCTGTGTTTTTTTCATTAAAGATCCTTTCCATGCTAATAGCTACACTGATATTTCAGAGTGGCAACACATAAAACATTTAAGTAATTTCAACTTCAACAGAAATCTCATTCTGTATTTTGTAATTTACTGTATATTCTGGCCCCATAATTCCCTAAGATCAAATCTGCAAGTTTCCTATCAATCACTTATATTTTTGTTTAGTGCCAGATGATGCATGTGCATGAGGGGCGGGTGGGGAGCACTCCTCAACAGGGCCTGGTCGTGCCATGATCCATTTTCTTCCAGTTCTCCATCCCATCGTGACTCTGGGCACATGCAGCCAGTGTTTTTTCAAGCCTCTGGGGTTGGGATGCAAACCCGGGTCTGTGATGTGGGATCTAGCTTCCCCTGTGCAGTACTTACCCACTGTGTGGGCCAAGCCTAATCGTTTGTCTTTCTGTGCAAGTCTGAATAGTTAGCTTCCTAAAGGTACATTCAACTTTGTATGAAATGATCAAAAGAAAAAAATGTATAACATATTTACCAAATAAACGTTAAGAGCCTACCTGTTGATTTCGGTAAATTTTTAAGAAAATCTTTTCTGTCTTCTTCATGCAAGATATTGTAGACACTTGTGTTAACCAGGTCTTCCTGCTTATACTGCAGGTATTGTGTAACATTTTCTGACACAAACACAATGTTCCCATCTCGATTCACCACAAACAGGAAACCATCCAGTGCCTAAAATGGGTTATGTTAATACAGGTCGTTATGGACTGAATGCATACAAAATGCACACGCGGAAGCCCTAAACTTCCAAGGGAGTATACTTGGAGACGCGGCTTTACAGAGTAATGGAGGATAAACGAGGTCATATGGTGGGGCCGTACCCGTGTGACTGGCGCCCTCGTGAACAGAGAGACATGGAGACACTGGGGATGCGTGTGCACACACAGTGAAGATCACGGGAGGACAGCGACAAGCTGAGGAGAAATATCGCGGGAGGAAAAAATCCTGCCAACACCTTGAGATTGGACTTCCACCCTCCAGAACTGCAACCACAAATTTACGTTGTTCATGCCACTCGGCACCCAGTCTATGGTATTCTGTCATGGAAGTCTTAGTGAGGTTGAGATGGCAACCTTAAGAAAGTAGGGAGAATTTGAGAAAACTACTAGTGGTTTAATAGTTACTGCCGGGAAGCCGCGCGGGGCGCCCGGCGGAAGCCGCGCGGGGCGCCCGGCGGAAGCCGCTCGGGGCGCGGGAGCTCATGCCCCCGGAGCGGCGGGGACCCCCCAACGAAAAAAGGCCCCCCCA